TTAAACCCCCGACATTAGGTCCTCATTTTTCCCCTCCCTCCCCGCTCCCCCCTCCCGATACTTAGTTTTCTTAGGGGGTGTCCGTGTCTCTATAGATGTAAATTGATCATTGTAGCAGAAGTCACTATACAGTCTCCTGGTTAAAAAAGTAAGATCAGTCTGTAACTATCTTCAAGTTGAATTGTAAGAACAGGTCCATTTTATTCTTCTTTTGCCTGATGTTAATGCAAGGCAACGTTTCAGAACCCCTCAGTGATTGAGGACTGCAGGTGCAGCGAGTGAAGGTGCTTTTGATGGAGGATGTGTTATGAGGTGCAGTTGGTGCAGTCATTTCAAGGTGAGGGCCGGTATATAACCTTAAAGGGCAATTGTCCGTAAGCTGGACATTTGTAACTCAGAGACTCTGTTGTGCTAAAGTCAGAATTATCAAAGATAAAATTACTAGCAGTCCTCAGCCCTCACAGCTGAACCGTGGTCTGAGCGGCTTGAAGGAAAAAGGAGGAGAGTGACACTGAAATGGACTTGGAGTCTTGGGTCAAACACGTTCACTTCAAATGATAACACACGGAAAAAATCAATAACAGTAATATTTAGAGAATACAAGTAAAAAAACTTTTGTACCACAATTCAAATATCTGCATGGTTGAAGCTTTTGACTAAATGATTATCTTTTTAAATAAAAATAAAAATAAATGATTATCTTTTGTGTTGCTCTTCAAAGGGTATATTTGTAACAAGGGTTCAGCCTGAAGGACCAGCATCAAAATTACTGCAACCTGGTGATAAAATTCTTCAGGTAAATAAGATAGATCTTTCTCATGCTTGCTTTTTTTTTTTCTTCCCTGGCTCATTTAATTTTCACATTCTTCGTTCTTCCTGAAGGATTGCTTAATGAATGCCAGAACTGAAAATAAGCATTTAATGTAATGTATCTTTAAACATTAGAAGATAAAAATCTTTTTAATCAAAAAAGATGAGAAGGTATAGCATTCTTATACCTTCTAGTTCTTTAACTTACCGCTTTCTGTCTGAAAATTTCCCACCTGTACCTTGGAGTTTATCTTAACATTTTATTGAAATGGGTATGTTAACTTGTAATTTGACAGGTCAAAACACCATTCCTTGGAGGCAAACTGTCATCACCTTAGAAATGTAACTCACATTCTCTACCCCTACTTTCATTCAGAAATTACATAGTTTTTAAAAAATAACCCTCAGATCAAAAAACAACAAGCCTGAGAGCTTAGTAGCTAAAAAGCCTACGCTTTGAAACAAGGATGCTTCTGTTTAAACCTTGATTCTAGTGCTTTTAAAGTGCGTGTCAGGTGTACATGAAAATATACTCAGCTCATACACTCTTTTAATAGTTGATGAAATTAGCTACATTCTTCAAGTTGTGTCCTTTTTGCTGTCTCTTCCCATCTTATTTTACTACCATTGACTTAGACTCCATAAACTATAAATGTGCATTTTTAGTAAGTTATCAATTTCATCTTATAATTCTTTAATAGAGTGTGATCTTCAAGGCAGACATTAATTGCTAGTTTAGCTAAACTGT